TGACATCATTTCAGAGGTTATAGATTAAAAAAATAAAATAAAGTTTGTTGTTAATATTGTTTAATTAAGTTCAAAATTCCTGATTAATATTAAAGTTGTTCAAGCAGTTGATGTTATATTATAAGTTTGAATTAAAGGTCTTTGCATTTTGATATTACTGAACTATATTAGAAACTTGAATAATTGGTGAAATATTAATGAAATGTTATATATTATTATGAGTCTCTGAGTTTTTTTACAAAGGTATATATATATTTTATTAATAATTATTTAAAAATTAAAATTGTGGATATCTTAGGATATACGATACACGATACGCCATTTTTTTAAAAACGATACGCCTTCCGATACACGATTTGACAACTATGATAGGAAGAGCAAGGACGCACTTCAGCAACGATTCTAACAACCACCAGATCCACGAAACCACCAAGGGCAATCGATACGACCACCACCAACCACAACCATAACCACCACGATCACCGACCACTACACCATCGGCTTCAACAACACCAATAGGTGCATGATTTCAATGCAAACCCATCACCCACCAATTGTGGGATGCGCGAGAACTAGGACAGACTTCTCACAAAGACAAAGCAAAAGGAGAAAAGAATAGAAGAAAGCAAAAGGAGAAAAGAATAGAAGAAAACAAAAAGAGAAAAGAGAAGATGATTAATGAAAGATTAAACTAGGACCTAATTGCTCTGATACCATGTTAAGTTTAGAGTAGAGACAAACTTAACACGATATAGGAGAGGCAAAGAGAGGTTTTGACTTACCCTAACTCTCATTATCAACTTGTATTTATACTTACTAAACAAACATGCAAAGGACATGTATACCCTTTGTGTGGTATACATATTACAATAAATGTAAACCCTAATAATATTATAGTAATACAATCAACAAAACCGAAAAAAAAAATATTAACTTATAGAAAATTATGTCACTTCATTGTTTANGTCATTATCAACTTGTATTTATACTTACTAAACAAACATGCAAAGGACATGTATACCCTTTGTGTGGTATACCTATTACAATAAATGTAAACCCTAATAATATTATAGTAATACAATCAACAAAACCGAANAAAGTGACGATATACATCACCGACAATAGGAAACACAGTTATTATTATCATATGATACATTACGATATACCTAAAAAACAATACATATTGTGTCTCTGTACCGTTTTTGTACCATATCGTACGATACACAATACGATACGTGATGATTCTGTTTTTTTATTTTTTTGGTTTTTTGGAGCTGAAATGACATCATTTCAGAGGTTATNCTTCAAAGCACATTGGTGAAAAATCCAAACAGATGTCCCTTTAAGGAGAATAGTTAGAGAACATTAATGAAGAAGTTTATTAATCCCTAGATTTAGATACGCTGAAGTGACACCACTCATTTAAGATACACTGGGCACATAAATCAATGGAACTTAACATGCATGTACAGATATGTATGAANATTCAAAGCACATTGGTGAAAAATCCAAACAGATGTCCCTTTAAGGAGAAATAGTTAGAGAACATTAATGAAGAAGTTTATTAATCCCTAGATTTAGATACGCTGAAGTGACACCACTCATTTAAGATACACTGGGCACATAAATCAATGGAACTTAACATGCATGTACAGATATGTATGAACAGTAAAAGGATCCAAATCCTAAATATAAATTAACCAAGCCTAGGATAACCAGCTAAGCACATGTGCAGATTTATCCCAAATACAACTGCAAATCCTATAATGCATGCGGATTGGGTCTGGGTGAGTGTTCGAAAACTGGGTGAATTGATGGGTTGAACATTTAGTTACTTCATATGAACACTAACCAGCCAGCATGACCGCCTACCCCATCACCCTCCTTAAAAGCAGGGCAGGTGGGGGCACTGTGGTGCTACAGTAACCCATCTCTTTTTTTTCATATTTTGCGTTGGCTTTCTCTGGTTTTTTTCGTTTTATCTTTCTCTATTTTCTACTGACCCTGTGCAGGCATAGAGTGGAGTGCACTCATAGTAATGAACATCTAGGACACTATAAAGTGGAAGAAGAAAAGACAGTGGAGGGTCCTAAAGCCTTGTAGAAGAATGGAATGATAAAATTGTTAGATTTAAATCCCATTATCAGTGCATGAATAAATTCCACCCCCACGGAGGAATAAACAATCCTCACCATTCGGCTTTGGTACAACATGGGGACTCCACATGTAGCCAGTTGGAAAATGAGATATTGACCCATTGAACATGCTGAAGTATGCAATAGACGGAAGCTTCAACTTCTTTTTCCTGAAGTCATTAATGTATCCTCTTATGCCCCACCAGATCAGTAAATCTACAAGTATATAAGAGAGCTGGAACCAGTAACAAAAAATTAGGGAACGAAATTGTTGGTGAAATTTAAGAGAGAATCTCTTTATTTGCAGATGATGAAAACAAAAAAAAAAAAAAAANTGGCTAGATAGCTGCTGAACCGGAACTGAACCTACTGAACCAAGCCTGAACCGTGCTGAACCAGGCCTGAACCGGCCTGGAAGGTACTGGAAGTGCTGAACTAGACCTGAACTGTCCTGAGAGGTGCCGAACCGGCCTGGAATGACAATGAAGGGCTAGACCAAACTTCCTTGGGCCTAAGCTGAACTGGGATAAACCTGGGTTAGGTTGAACTGCCAACAGTCTGGCTGGACCAAATCTGATTGGGCCTAAACTTCCTTGGACCAAACTTCCTTGGGCTTGAACCTAGGTTGCTGGGCTTTGGAAATTATTTAAGCACACAACCGTGGAAGATCCGATCTGACTCAACAAAGTGAGAGTCGTCGTCTTCACTGTAAGCATTTCAACGAACCCCTAGCTCCAACACAATGGTTCACACAGATGACATAACCAAACTCCGACGACCACAATAAACTCTGGTAGCAACCCACGCCGACCACAACGCGACAACCCACACGATCACAGAACACTTACACGGCACAACGAAGTGACGATATACATCACCAACAATAGGAAACACAGTTATTATTATCATACGATATATTACGATATACCTAAAAAACAATACATATTGTGTCTCTGTACCGTTTTTGTACCATATCGTACGATACACAATACGATACGTGATGATTCTGTTTTTTTATTTTTTTGGTTTTTTGGAGCTGAAATGACATCATTTCAGAGGTTATAGATTAAAAAAATAAAATAAAGTTTGTTGTTAATATTGTTTAATTAAGTTCAAAATTCCTGATTAATATTAAAGTTGTTCAAGCAGTTGATGTTATATTATAAGTTTGAATTAAAGGTCTTTGCATTTTGATATTACTGAACTATATTAGAAACTTGAATAATTGGTGAAATATTAATGAAATGTTATATATTATTATGAGTCTCTGAGTTTTTTTACAAAGGTATATATATATTTTATTAATAATTATTTAAAAATTAAAATTGTGGATATCTTAGGATATACGATACACGATACGCCATTTTTTTAAAAACGATACGCCTTCCGATACACGATTTGACAACTATGATAGGAAGAGCAAGGACGCACTTCAGCAACGATTCTAACAACCACCAGATCCACGAAACCACCAAGGGCAATCGATACGACCACCACCAACCACAACCATAACCACCACGATCACCGACCACTACACCATCGGCTTCAACAACACCAATAGGTGCATGATTTCAATGCAAACCCATCACCCACCAATTGTGGGATGCGCGAGAACTAGGACAGACTTCTCACAAAGACAAAGCAAAAGGAGAAAAGAATAGAAGAAAGCAAAAGGAGAAAAGAATAGAAGAAAACAAAAAGAGAAAAGAGAAGATGATTAATGAAAGATTAAACTAGGACCTAATTGCTCTGATACCATGTTAAGTTTAGAGTAGAGACAAACTTAACACGATATAGGAGAGGCAAAGAGAGGTTTTGACTTACCCTAACTCTCATTATCAACTTGTATTTATACTTACTAAACAAACATGCAAAGGACATGTATACCCTTTGTGTGGTATACATATTACAATAAATGTAAACCCTAATAATATTATAGTAATACAATCAACAAAACCGAAAAAAAAAATATTAACTTATAGAAAATTATGTCACTTCATTGTTTAGAATAGGAAAAAAAAAGTAAAAACTTATCCTATGCATATCGTCTTTTCGCGGTATTGAAATGTATCATAAGATGTGTATCACGTATCGTACGATATGGTGAACAAAGATACGTGTCACTAATAGTAGTGTGTTTTTCACTAGATTGTAACATATCATAAGACACTAACAACTACGAATATTCACACAATGAATATGAAACAATTGCTCTAACATCTTCAAAGCACATTGGTGAAAAATCCAAACAGATGTCCCTTTAAGGAGAATAGTTAGAGAACATTAATGAAGAAGTTTATTAATCCCTAGATTTAGATACGCTGAAGTGACACCACTCATTTAAGATACACTGGGCACATAAATCAATGGAACTTAACATGCATGTACAGATATGTATGAACAGTAAAAGGATCCAAATCCTAAATATAAATTAACCAAGCCTAGGATAACCAGCTAAGCACATGTGCAGATTTATCCCAAATACAACTGCAAATCCTATAATGCATGCGGAATGGGTCTGGGTGAGTGTTCGAAAACTGGGTGAATTGATGGGTTGAACATTTAGTTACTTCATATGAACACTAACCAGCCAGCATGACCGCCTACCCCATCACCCTCCTTAAAAGCAGGGCAGGTGGGGGCACTGTGGTGCTACAGTAACCCATCTCTTTTTTTTCATATTTTGCGTTGGCTTTCTCTGGTTTTTTTCGTTTTATCTTTCTCTATTTTCTACTGACCCTGTGCAGGCATAGAGTGGAGTGCACTCATAGTAATGAACATCTAGGACACTATAAAGTGGAAGAAGAAAAGACAGTGGAGGGTCCTAAAGCCTTGTAGAAGAATGGAATGATAAAATTGTTAGATTTAAATCCCATTATCAGTGCATGAATAAATTCCACCCCCACGGAGGAATAAACAATCCTCACCATTCGGCTTTGGTACAACATGGGGACTCCACATGTAGCCAGTTGGAAAATGAGATATTGACCCATTGAACATGCTGAAGTATGCAATAGACGGAAGCTTCAACTTCTTTTTCCTGAAGTCATTAATGTATCCTCTTATGCCCCACCAGATCAGTAAATCTACAAGTATATAAGAGAGCTGGAACCAGTAACAAAAAATTAGGGAACGAAATTGTTGGTGAAATTTAAGAGAGAATCTCTTTATTTGCAGATGATGAAAACAAAAAAAAAAAAAAAAAGAATGGCAGATACTCAAAAGCATACCCAATAACCAGCGCTTTGAGGTACACGCGCCAATGGGTGAGGAAATTCATAAGTTGGCCTGCCTACAAAAATGGAAGTCAGATCGCCTCATCCTTGAAAAATGTCCCAAGAAAAAGTTAAACAATAGATAGATCACCAGAACACAAGAATCACATTCTGAAGACAATTTCCAGTCAATTTAAATTTCAATAAAATATCTTCAGAACATTAAATACTCTGGAAAGTGTTCTTGTTGGCGAATGTAAGTGTTATTTCTCCTCTCTTTTGGGAGCTGAAGAGGTAAGATCCCGCATACACTAGTTTTCCTAGCCAAAAGTACAAAAATGCACCCAAGACATCTAGCAGGAATATAGCATCAATTTTGCTGCGGATGAAAAAATATAGTAACCAACAAGAAATATAGTACTGCGGGTGGGTCTTTTTGATCAACCATGATATCAAAGTTTCAAGAAAAACAAACCAGAGTAGAAGTCTTACATAAAAGTTTGGAAATGCTTGAAATCATTTGGAAACCTTCATTTAATTCAAAGTTAAGCCCATAAATTCAAAACTAAGTCTATTGCAAATAAATACACCTACCCAAATAGCAAGAATTTTATGAAATCCAATAGAAGGTACGACAAAGTCATGAAGCAGCAACAGTCACACAACTTGAGCACAAAAAAAAAGGCTTACTAGACGTTAATAGCTATTACCCTATATCTGAGAGATAAATGTGGCCAAATGCATTACTATTCTGCCTGAATTATCCAATGTCATAATGGCGTAAGTACCAAAAAAAGCAAAAACCCCAGTTAATATTACGAAATCCGTTTATCACCGAAGATAAATATTATAAAGACATGCTTTAATACATTTTACTTAGATTCAGTATGCATTGATGAGTTCTGGGTAATTACGAGCTTTCAAAAATGGAGTTAAAAATAATAAAATAGTTTCAATTTACTTGCAAACCCAAAAAAGAAGTACTGAAACTCAAAGCCATGTATGGGGTTAAGATCTGATGGCATGCTACCTAAGAAGCATGGACATGGACATGGACACAGACACAGACATGGGGCACAGTCTCACAGATACGAACATGTAGACACCACATTTCTCAAAAAGGTAGGACACCGATACATTGGGGACATACTATAAATAATTGTATTTTATATTTAAATTATATAATTTATCATAAATATAATGACAATGATATACTATTCATAAAAAAAATCTGTACTTTGTGATAAATAATATTATGTCTAGTCATCTAGTGTGAATATTTAACCGGTCATCATAATAGTCAACAATCACCAATTTTTTTGTAGACATGTACCAAACATATGCAATTTAAATGATTGATCTTTTCTAAATCTTTTATATATCTTTTACTTTTATTATATTTTGAGTACTACTTTAACATATTCAGTCTTGGTAATTATATGTTCTATCATAGCATAAGATAGTTATTAGTCAAATTTTTTAGCTTTGTTAATCATATGTCAACACATATTTATTATTTGGTAGTAGTCATGGTTTAAAAAAGTGTCGGACAAATCATTAAAGAAGTGTCCGACAAATGTCCAAAATTAAAATTTAATCATTTAATTATAGACAAGGAGTAAAAGAATATTGGACACGTGTCGGAGAAGTGTCGGTATCTACCATAGATACGTCACCTTCTTGAGAGTTATCTGCGGTTCATAGCATGCTACTTAGTAAATAAACAAGGAAAATCTGAAGTTAAAATATACTTTTCTACTCTTCTTCTTTCTCTATTTTTTTGCGTGTTGGTGGTGCTCTCTGCAGTATGGGAGGGAGAGAGCGGAATCATAAACACAATTATCTTGGACTTGATAACTTTTATCATGCCATCATCCAAAAATTCAAATAGTTTTGGATAGGAAACCAAAACCCCATGAGCTAAATAAATACTAAGCCAAATTAGAGGAAAATGAAAAGATTAACTTTGTCACAAAACAGAAGGATATGCTTAAACGATGCAAAGAAGTGCAGATTCATGCACACACCAACACACAGACAGCCATCAGACACATAATGACATACATGTACACGCTTTGAAGGTAGTTTAGAATTTGATTTCCCCAACATTGTCGTTTTTGTTCTCACTCCACTGTCTCAGCTCCTAGGCCATGGATCATACCATGAGTTGCCATGACCACAAAATATGCAGCAATTACGGTATTGACCACATGACCACAAAGGATACAAGATGCATCAAGCCTGCAATTCGGGTTGAAATTGTTGTCCCTACCCAAGCTTGGGCACATCAGCATACAGTCTTTAATATGATGATAGATTGTGGTGGGCAGGGGTTATGGAAATATTGCAGCATCTGGAATTGAAAGGAAGAAGATACATGTTATAGGCTTTATAGAAAGGCTAGGACAGGCTTAGGTTTTGTAGGTCCTAAGTTGCCGCAATTTCAGAAATACGGAGCCACAATATTTGAACTGCAACTATCATCTATTGGTACAAGGTATGAACGTAAAGACCAAAATCGTAAGCAACAACCCTGCTTGTAGGATTCGGGGAAGAAATACCCTATTAGACAAGAATTGGTGATTAAGATAGATAATTCCATGCTAAAGAGAAATACGAAGGGGTGAAGAAGATGGTTATATGAATTTAAAATCGGACCTCTCGACTTCTCAAGAATGAGGGTTGCACTGAATCCCCACAAGCAACTCCATGGAAATGACAGGATATTTATAGGCTACAGATTAGCTCGCATTACCAAGACCAGGACTGCCAATACAAATATTAAAACTTTTTGACTTCTAAAATTAATCCCTCCCTCCCTCCATTTGGAGGTCAGGTTACACAGTTCTACAAGGGAACTTGCAAGCCACTACGACAACTGTTTGTCTGGTTAAATTCAATACCATTACAGAGTAACAAGTGAAGTCCCAACCGTTACACAATAAAGAAATCAAAGTTATATTAAGGTGCGAAGACAGTTTTGCAATTTACCATACGAACTAACGAACATTATATTATCTCCATCTATCTAAGATATATAGAGTTCATACACATTTGAAAAGGTTTTGCCAGAACTCACGTCCAAGGCATTGTGAAGAAGATGTGAAGGGGTACACCAAGCGATTCAGCAACATGTGCATGTCCTGCCAGCCAGAGGGTCATGTTAAAACAGTGTACTCTGCTCATAAAAAAGCTATGTGAAATGAAAGCATAATTTTTACCTCATATATCAGAAGACAACCAACAAAGATAATGCATAGTAAATAACACTTGATGATGGAGAACTATGATTTATTTAGTGGTGGCAATTGGTCCATGTCAAAAGTTAATCGTGTCAAAATTGGGTCAAGCTATCATAAGTCATAACACAACCTGTGCAACCTACTCAATAAACAGCTCATGTTGGATTAGATGGGTTCCACGAGAAGCTAAAAAAAATGGGTTAGATGGGTTCAAAGTTCAAAAAGCACATTTAATAAGCCTGTCAACCCACACTTGCCCTATTTAACAAACTGACCAAACATAACATAATACGATTAACTAATCAAGTGAAAATATCTAGCCAAACTCAATATCTTCGTCAGATTCGAATCATGTTAGAGTTTCAAAAATTGTCAACCCCCCCTTCTCTCTCTCTCTCTCTCTCAATACAATGACATCTATAAATATCATTTCACCAGATAGTTAAAAATGTATAGATGAACAATAAGGAAAGGGAGTTATTACAAAAACTCTTGACAAATAAAGATGTCACCTATCCATCCTTGTCAAATATTTTATTTTAGTTTTACGCTATTGATTCATGTTAAATATTCACTTAGAAGCAGTTATTCTACTTAGAAGCAGATGTGACAGAAAGGAAGTAGATTATTTATGTCAAACCCAAGCATACATGCATAGTACTTAAATAAATAAAAAAAGGAAAGATATAAGACAAGAAAANCACTTAGAAGCAGTTATTCTACTTAGAAGCAGATGTGACAGAAAGGAAGTAGATTATTTATGTCAAACCCGAGCATACATGCATAGTACTTAAATAAATAAAAAAAGGAAAGATATAAGACAAGAAAAATAAACAATAACTAATGGGGTCAAAACTATATTTTGGTATTAAAAATTTTTATGATTAAAGTGACATATTACAAAAGAACAGGAATGTATTTATAAATATGCCAAATATATAAAGAGGGATGAAACTATCGGTGGAGACATCTCTTGGCAGACATTCTCCACTCTTCCATATCTCTCTACACACTTTTTCTCTCTCTCTCTCAGTTATCACTTCAGAAGCACTAGAAGCTAAAATTTCTTCTAATTTTTCTTGTGGATTTGATGAAATTTGGGGTTAAAATTTCTATTGGTTGGATTGGAGATCTTTTGNTTCTCTCTCTCTCTCTCTCAGTTATCACTTCAGAAGCACTAGAAGCTAAAATTTCTTCTAATTTTTCTTGTGGATTTGATGAAATTTGGGGTTAAAATTTCTATTGGTTGGATTGGAGATNCGAAACATTTAGAAACGTAAGAGTTTCAATATTTGACTCATTTCAATTTCCATGGAAATGAAGACATTTCATCTATTTTGAAACAAAATTTGGATCATAGGCTCTCACATAAAAGTACCAATGGGATGCCACCAAAGAAGACTAAATTAGCCTAGTNTAATTTTTCTTGTGGATTTGATGAAATTTGGGGTTAAAATTTCTATTGGTTGGATTGGAGATCTTTTGGAGAGGTAAGCACTTCTCTAGTTATTGAAATTGATTATTAAGACCTAAAAATCATAATTTTTTTTAAAGGTTGAATGTCATGATAATATGCATCCAGTGAGGACTTGTGTCGATCATAGGCCTATTTTATCTTGTTATACTTAATTTATTGGATTGCTCGTAGAGTAGTTGCTTAAGATTTGAAAATTTAATTTAAGTGTTTGCATATCTTGGTGGAATATCTGGATGAATAGGAGTGTGTTGGGTGGAGTTTTCATCAAGGAAAGAAGTAGAATTCATGCTTAGTTGATGGAATTGTTTCCACAAGCGGGAATTATGGTTTAGTTGTTGAAAGAGATTATTAAAATTGTTTACATTGATGCCCAAACTCGTTTTGGATTATTGAAAGATTATGGGAGACTGTTAGAAGGGTTGTAATTGATTTTGGAGTAGATTGAAGTGGGTTTTGGTTCATGGGTAGAAGAATAGAGATGGTGGNTCATGCTTAGTTGATGGAATTGTTTCCACAAGCTGGAATTATGGTTTAGTTGTTGAAAGAGATTATTAAAATTGTTTACATTGATGCCCAAACTCGTTTTGGATGATTGAAAGATTATGGGAGACTGTTAGAAGGGTTGTAATATATTTTGGAGTAGATTGAAGTGGGTTTTGGTTCATGGGTAGAAGAATAGAGATGGTGGTAGTAATCCCCTTTTTATTGGACAGACTGCGCACCTGGTAGAAAAATGGTGAGAACTTCCACTAGAAAATTCGGATTCGCACACCGTTTGAAGCATAGGAAACTAGACTCAAAGCCCGTTTTAACAGTATATGGTAGACCACCAAATTATGCTTGAGAAAATACAGTTTTTAATCTAAATGGATTGATATGCATTTTTCAAGATTTGAAATCCTAAGTAAAATTAATCAAAACATGGTCAATTGGATGACGATTAGAGGTCACGATCTATGGTTAGAAAGTATAGAAAGTCTATTTTATGATTAATTTGTGTTCTTATGATTTTAACAAGAATAGAAGGTTGTTTTAATTAAACTCGCGCGATAGGTTCTCATGTTATTTTAATGCATGTGAAGTGTTCAAGAAAATGTTTAAGCGAAGCGAATGAGCGAAAATAGGACTTAAGTGACCAGACCTTGTTTGAGTTGAATGTGATATAAAATAAATTAGATTGGTTTGGATCAAAGAAACAAAATATTGAAAAATTCGGATATGAGGCATATTGGACAGCTTTGACACCCTATAGTAAAACGGACATAACTTTTTGTAGAAAACTCAAATTGATACACTGTCAATTTTGTTGAAAACTAAACTCAAGAGACCTTTCTAATGGTATATGGTAGAACATCATATTATTCCTGTGTAAATTCAGTTTTTAGTTTAAAGATAGCTAAAAACAGTACACGTATCAATTTTTTTTAACTTATAGGAAAATAATAGGAACATGGTCTATGGGAGGTTGTTTTGAGCTTGTGACCTATCATTAGAAACCTTAAGGAGTTTACTTTCTAACTCATTTGGTTTCATGTTGAGTTATTATGAAAATAAACCATAGGATTAGAGTTTATCTTGATCTAAGTTGAGTTGAATCAGAATAAACAAAACATAAAATGAAATATAATCGTATGCATACATTTGCATCTGTTGAGTTATTTGGAGTTGAAACTCATTGTGTATGGTTATATAATTTGTGTTAGGTCCAAAAGATACTATACCGATTCCATTTAGGGATCGAGAATAAAGCTAAGTGATGTATTGGCTGTCACGTTGGGGGTGACAGGTTAAGTGTACTACTTCATAATAACTAGAAANAAAAGATACTATACCGATTCCATTTAGGGATCGAGAATAAAGCTAAGTGATGTATTGGCTGTCACGTTGGGGGTGACAGGTAAAGTGTACTACTTCATAATAACTAGAAATAAAAATATATGACATATTGTCATATACTTGTGATTTATTGAAAAACTTGTGATGAATCAAATATATTTTGTTAAAATACTTGTGATTTATTGAAAAACTTGTGATTTGTTGAATAGATTGACATGGCTTATATGTTGATTTGGATATTGCGCATTTGTCATGAGACGGCTTAACATTGCTTAAATGTTGTAAATAACTTGACATTACTTATATGTTGTTGATAGTTTGATATTGCTTAAATGTTGTTATTGACTCGTGGCACATATGAAATATTTATTATGTTGATTTGAGTTTCAAAGTGGGCTGAGAACACTTTGACTTATTTGTTGTTTTCTCGGGTTGTAAACATATTTTGGGAAATAATATCTGATCCATATTTTTTTTATATTTCTATTTATTATGATGCTCAATAGACGGAGAAAATATTTGGTTTCAGGAAGCAGAAGTTTAGAGTTTGGTCCACTACAACACTAGCAAAGTCGAGATGGAAAGGTCTGGAAACTGGTTGTGAACATATTGTACAGGGGTGTTTGTTTCCTTGTTGATGTAAAGGATGAATTCTCTAATATTTTGTTTTGGTTTAACTTACATCGTTGTGTACTCTGTCATAGAGTTATATGGTTTATCTCTTTTATAAGATCTTCAGTTGGTAGTATTAGTTTTCAATGCACCGCTAACACAAGTATTGTCACGTGTCAAGTTATACTTACATCTTAAGAATACCAAGTTGGTCGCTTGGGATGGGGTGTGACAGTTTCCACTAGACATTGATTTTTAAAATCTTATCATTGGATTTTTGTAAGCTCCAAATCCACTTTCTTGCACCTCCTCAAAATTCTCATTGCTAAACAAAACGATGCAATGATGCTTCCAGAAAGTATCAACTATATCAATAAGACCTCATAATAAGACTAGAAGCAGACTCCTATATCTATGGTTGGGTATCTAGAAACACTCTAGAGGTGATTCTGACTCCAAAGGCTATATGGCCAAACTATTCAAGATAATTCAACATTTATTCAGAAAATCCAATGGAGCATTTACGACTCACCATAAGCAGGAGGATTTGCAATAATAGCCTGAGCCCTAAAAGGCTCACCAGTTTCCATATCAGGTTCTATGCACGCTGGAAGAAGTGATTCAATAATAGCCTTTAGTTGTTTTCTTTGTATAGATATTTCTCCCGGTGCAGATGAAATGAAACCTTTATTCCTGGCCATATCTATAATGATGGAGAAAAACTCAATTTAGTTAGACAATAGAAAAACTCAATTTAGTTAGACAAATACTTAAACAACGTCAATTATAATTCAAAATTTTAGAAACAAGTTGAGAATTGATGCAATTGGGTCTCAAGAGAGGAAAATCTCAAAATATCATATCGGAAGGATGCAACTAACAGCGAGAAGGTAATTTTAAACAATAATGTTCAATTAGACTTCGCTCAACACATACTATTCAGGTTTTTGGTGACAAAATGGAGACATCAAATAGATGACAAAAGAAAACAGGAGGAGCAAAAAGCACTATGAACTGATGCACATTCATGAAGTCCACAGAAGAAATAGTCTTCATAAAATGCTCTGATGATAAATTTACCACACCAAATGAATTAAATTGTGTTTCCACATAGAAATAAAAAAATTGCATGTCAAGGACCTCTTACATCCTGCCAAAACCCGAGGATCACCGCCCAAAGGATAAAAGTCTATACCATCCGACTTCACAAAACTACGGAAGTTAGCATGAGTAGCCAACCTAACATGATGACCAAACTCCTGCAGGCCAACACATAATTAGTTAGGGGAATGACACATGATATTGCAAAAGAAACAGAATCTCGGCGTGCAGAGTGTCAAAGCAGTAGCTATTTTTTAAATACATTATCACAGCTAAAAGCAGAGATACGTATTAAGTGAAGGTCCCCTGACCTTGACATAAACCCTCAAGTTCAAAATTAGGTAATTCCAAAAAAAAAAAAAACACATCAATATAGAAGCAGAAAATTTACACAATAAATTTCAGGATATATCCATGCTCAACAACAGATCAACTCCTCACCAATGCAGTAATTAACAATGTCCACCATGGGCAACCAGGGCTTACCTTAACAAAGAGCATCTAAAAGCATGTGCAATCAAGTAAAATCAAACCAAACGACAGAACCAAGGTAACAACCCTGTTCTAGTAAGCACACGCAAACATTACAAAATAATGTGAACTTATCCCAACTTGACCACAAAAGAAATGGATAAGTTTACATAGGATTTAATAATATCAGAATTCAGCTTCTTACTCCTATCGGACCTATCCCAACATTAGAAACACTTTTTTGTAATCCCAGCTTTTAGCAAAGATTCTTCACTGAAGTTTGTACCTAACTACCCGTTCCATACCTCCATTAATGAGGACTAAACTGGGTGTTAGTTTTGTGGCAAAGATTCTTAACTCTGAACAAATACAATATAGCATAAATACTTCAATCCATAGACAAGGGAAAGAATTTGGAACTGTAGATTCCCTGGTTACATCTTGAAATATGTAGACTTAACTACTTCTCATTAGACAAAACAAAATCATGCAAGAAAAAAGTACATTAGGAAAAACGAACGTGCACAATGATAACAGAATGCAGTAGATATATAAGCAATTAGGTGGAACAGAAAATTGTTTTAAACGTGCCTGAAGTCTCTTTGCCACAGCAAGAAAAGGCTGAACATCTCCTCTTGTTCCAACCACAAGCATTGCAATTTTCAGTCTCGGAATTGACTTGTTCAAATCAGTGGTGACGTAATCGATATTTGAAGGTGCCCTTTCAACAGAATGAAGTTCTAACAATTCTGAAGCTACTGGTGCACTCTTAGTTAGATCAACCTTGACAGTCCCATCATTTTGGATCTTTACTAGCTTCTCAATGAGTTTTATCTAATACAGAAAACACAAGGAGGAAGGATATGAAAGAAAGCGAATTTCATACATGATATAGACAGGAAATATACGAGTGCAAGTGAGAGGTAAACATAAATTATGAATTTCATATGCAAGTGCATGACGTAGAGAAACTAGCTTGAGGAGGTGCATAAACGTGCTTACTCGGTAGCTAGGAAGCACAAAAACGAGATACAACTATGATACGATATAGATACGGCGATACAACAAAACTTGAAAAAATGNAACGTGCTTACTCGGTAGCTAGGAAGCACAAAAACGAGATACAACTATGATACGAAATAGATACGGCGATACAACAAAACTTGAAAAAATGATACGGGTACGATTAGGATACGCATATAATAAAATATATTTTATATTTTACTATTATTTAACGACTTAAAAAATATAATTTTTAGTAATTATTTAACAACATTAAACAAAATTAACAATTTTTACCTTAAAAAAGGTGTAACATCATCCCATTATGATATATCCATAAAGTGAACGTGATCGATTAAATGAATTAGAACCGATATTTAACTAGTTAGTTTGTTTACAAGTATTTGTTTCTAAGATTGTAGTGTAACTAACTTATTTTTTTACAATGTTTTGACATGTAATAGTGGATAATAATTAAAAAACACTCGTATCTACAAAATCAAATGAAATTTTCTTGATGTATTGTATTGTTTGTGAACTCAAAAAGAGAGGGTGAAGATTAAAATTAAAAATTATACATCTTGCTCCATGTATAGAAGTATCTGCAAAATATTCACATATTTTATTAACTATTGGATACGTATCATGCGTATCATTGGTATCTAATGCGTATCATTGAGTATCCAATGAGTATCATATCCAATACGGGTACGTCGATCGTGGCGAAGTATTCGTGCTTCATAGCTCGGTAGGCAGTTGGACATATCAATAGCTACTAAGTATCCAATTGAGCTAGCCATCCTTGATTAGTGTACCTCTAAGACCCCTTCTTGAAAACGGGGTGGAGTGTATCCGTGGTTGAATGTTTTTTGGCCAACAATCGTAGTAACACTAGCAAACAATGTAGATGTAATCCTGATGAAGAGTTTATGATAGAGTTGTTATAGGTTACATGGACTAGTTGATTAATTGGTAGTCGGTAGCAATCTAAAAGGAAGGTTGCATGAATAGGACAATTCAATTTAACGGGAAAATTTTCTCCCTAGGAAATTACGATGGAAGTTTCCGAAAGATAAAACTCTGCATACAATTGAATATTCAATAGAATATAGGTCTATAAGAAGATGGTTGTGATATCCCTTAGTCATAGAGACTCACTTTGGTCATCAGAAAGCTACTTTTCAAAGTTACACGGAATTCTCTGTTCAATAAATATTCATAGTGGGTGATGGCTCAAAGATTCACTTTTAAAAGGGACTCCGGTTCACATATCATATCTTCTGGTTTTTAATGTTGTGGCAAAACTTCCTTCACACTTTAAATTTGCGAAAGACAAGGATTGTCTTCCTTTTCCTAATCAATGTCTTTCCTCTTTTAGTCTGCCTAAAAGATGTTAATGTCTGAATTCTAGTGCGGAACATTTCTAAATTATGTTCAATTTTCTCTACGTAACAGTTGTTCCCTTTTCCTGCTACCAAGGTTGTCTGGAAGGCCAAGGCTCCTCGTAAAGTCAAGGCTCTCACCAAAGATCAAAATTTTGTTCCAGTGTATTGTTTTGATAAAACCGAAATACTTCAAAAATATTTTGAAACAAATTGATAATTCTAAAACATTGGTGAAAGCAAACTGAAACACCTCAAAACAGTTCGAAACATTTAGAAACGTAAGAGTTTCAATATTTGACTCATTTCAATTTCCATGGAAATGAAGACATTTCATCTATTTTGAAACAAAATTTGGATCATAGGCTCTCACATAAAAGTACCAATGGGATGCCACCAAAGAAGACTAAATTAGCCTAGTCCAAATCCAAATATATGTGATCAATGCAGAGGTGATGGAGGAAAATCCAACCATCTTCCCATCACCAAGTTTTTGAATCCTCAACAGTGCAATTTCAATCCCTTCTTGGGGACCCCTCTTTTGGGGGCTTTTATTAAGGGGAAATGGATAAATTGCTAGTGAATTTGTGCCACTTTGCTAGCAATTGGGAGATTTAGATAAAAAAAAATGCGTAACTTTTGTAGTAGCCTATAAAATATAGATATGTGTACCAATCACAAAGCAACACGTGGCAAGATTAAGGAAGGACCACGAGCTGACGTGGCAAAATTAAGGAGGGACCACAAGCTGCTGTGGCAGGATAGGCCCACCCTCGAATGGTAAAGGTTGTGGTAAAAGACCTGTGACCACGAAGAGGGTATCCACTGCAAAGAAGCAAGGCACACCCTCCTCACCAAAGAAGTGGTTAAAATGGATCCTTGACCAAAAGGGACAAAAATAGCACCGCAAAAGTCTGGGACAACCTTGGCGAGCCTATAAGTCCAACTCCACCACATAAGCGAATGGATATAGCTGGAGTTCGACGGTAAGCCTGTGGCCTCGAGGGGGACCCTCATGGATAAGGCCTGATAATGGATGAAAATTTTATTATTCTATTGGATTAAATGAGTATTATTACATTTCTTTTAAGCATATTATTGCATTTTGAATGAGTTTTGATGTTTGATCTCATTTGAGCTTGATTGGAGTAATCAATAAAAAACTTACTTATTATAGTACTTTGTTTTGTAGGAGATGTAGAATGGTTACTATGACAACTCGTATATAAATTAATTATCGACACGCTAATTAGGTCGTCAATTATGATTTTATCTTAATAAATAAATAAAATAAATAAAATAGATTTTTTTATGAACAAATGGATCTCAAATATAGAATTTTCGCGTGAAAATAAGTCAAATGACTATAATATAGGTCAAATATCGTAACCCTATAATAAAGTGAATATATTCATATCTATATATATAAAGATATTTATAAAGCTACTATTCTAAATTCTAGATTTTTACAAGCACAGTAAGTGCAAATGTGAAACGTGCAAAGAAAAGAAAGGAAAAAAAAAAAAGGAGAGATTGGCAAGAACTGGACAACTGTCCATGCGATGCTTGGTCCCCAAGCAATTTTTGGGCTATAAATAGCCATGCTCAGTAGCTTTGAACGGCACAAGGAAAAAAAAAAGAGAAAGGGAGGAAGAGAGAAAGGGAGAAAGAGAGGAGAGAGGGAAAAGGGGTCAAAAATTTTGTTGACCTAAGAGTTTGCGGTCGCGATCAAAACTTTGGGTAAGAGTTTTTAGTTATTATTTAATAACTTTTATATGTTCGAGTCACTTAAAGTTGATCTGCATTAAATATTTTCAGATCAAATTTAAGTATTATTATCTTTCGTTAGTTATTCCAAAACTTATTTTAGGTTAATTAAGCCCTTAGTACCTATTGTTATTCTAAAATATTATTTTGGTTATTTTGTTACAGTACACGGTATCGAATAGAAGTCAAGAAGGAGGTAGAGTTTCTTTTATCTTTTACTATCATTGATATATTTTATGCATCTTTGGAGGTTTCATATCAAATCTATTTTTAATTATAAAATGTAATATTATATCATGGGGTCAGACTGGGGTTTTATAAATAAATCGTTATCATGCACATAATGTATTTTTTTTATTGAAACCCTAATTATCTCATGAAACTATGTTGCATAATAAATGTCTATTTCATTAATTAATATTTAATGTTTGATTTGTTGTGGAGTCTGACTACGATATGATTTTATTTTGTGATTTTGATGAAATTACTATAAATGCACATAATCAAGGGCAGAGAGTTAGTAGATGCGTGATCCTTGCAAAGATTCACAAGATTCCTACTAGTCCTTGGATTCACCGGTTAGTAATATCGATTGTCGTGGTAGCCTGTGTGGTACCACATAATTTTNAGATTCACAAGATTCCTACTAGTCCTTGGATTCACCGGTTAGTAATATCGGTTGTCGTGGTAGCCTGTGTGGTACCACATAATTTTCGGTATTGGTGTTTCCAGAAAAGCAAGAAGCTCATTGGATTCCCTAGGGTGCAAGACCCCAAAGTTTTCTCCGGAGGCGATTCATGTGNACTATAAATGCACATAATCAAGGGCAGAGAGTTAGTAGATGCGTGATCCTTGCAAGGATTCACAAGATTCCTACTAGTCCTTGGATTCACCGGTTAGTAATATCGATTGTCGTGGTAGCCTGTGTGGTACCACATAATTTTCGGTATTGGTGTTTCCAGAAAAGCAAGAAGCGCATTGGATTCCCTAGGGTGCAAGACCCCAAAGTTTTCTCCGGAGGCGATTCATGTGTGGACCAAAAAATTGACGGATTGATATGATCCATATGTGCTGAAATTTATTTATTTCATTCATTACTTTGCCCTATTCCTGCATTTATTCGCGGTTTAATTATATTATTCATTGTTTTAAAACCTTGGTAGTCATTGATAAACGTTATCCCACTGAACTGGTGAGCTCATCCCTATTTAACATTTTTCAGATATATGAAGTCAAGCTGGAAGATAGGCTGAAAGGATAGAGTCTGCTATTATTATTTCTCTTTATGTTGTATCAAGAATATTTGAAATGATCTTGTGAGGATTATGTACTCGTACGGAAAATAAAATAATATAAGGAAGATTATTGTAAGTTCGGTAAATTTTATTCCTTAATCACACCCGGGTATTTTTTTAAAAAGGGAAAAAAAATTTCGGGGTGTGACAGTCACTTATTGAGATATAGATGATTCAAGGTAAATCTCAAGTGTTCCAAGGTCACTCAATATGGCATTATAGGTTTGGAGTTGAAGAAAAGAAATTTGGATACATTCCTGAGCTTAAACACATTTTGGAGAGTATTCAAGATGAAAGAATTTGTCACTACTTCGGTACTTTGATCATAAATTTTTATCCCGATATCCAATTGACCTAATTCTTGCGGTATTGGAAAGAAGACTTCAAGGGAACAAAAGTGTACTTCGTAAAAATCTTACCCGCGTCCATATGCGCCTCAACTGGTTGAAACATAAAGTTTAGTGCAACCAGACACGTGTTAGAAGTTAGGATGGCTTAGAACTTTTATTTTTTTAGTTCTCCGACCCTAGTTTGGTCTATACAACTATATATATGCCTCAAACCCTTAGGTATAGGGGAAACATACATTGTAAACTAGATCTAGAACCTCCAACCCTTCTTATTCTTCCCTTCTTTCTTTGTTTTCATATTTGTGGATTGCTAAATCCCCGACTAAAACTAGGGGTAATTCTTTCAATAAAACATGATATTTATTTTTAATTTGATGTTCTTTAATGCACGATTTTTCTTAGTAATTGATTCTTATGGTTTAGTAAAGTTTTTGCTCTATAAAATCTCTTAATTCGTTGTGTCATGTATATTGAATGTTTTAGATTCCCTGTAAGTCAAATAACTAGTTTTGTATATTTGGATCAATGAATCAGAATATTTATATAAAAAAAAATGATCTCTTGTTTGTGATAAAAAAAAAATTCTTTGTTAGAGATCTTGATTCATCGTTGACTCTACACACAGTGAATACTTGTGATCTACAATTAAATACATAATTTTTATCAAATCAAGTTATTAGTTATAATTTAGATTTGTTTTTAATATAAGCACCAGTAAACCTTCCGATTAAGATCACTTCTCAACTGATTCTTAATTGAGTTTGAAAACCGAATCAAGAATAAATATTCTGTGGAATTGAAAGAGAATCCTTGATGCTTTTGTATCTCTCGAATATTGTTTTACCTAAAATTTAATGCTTCCTTCAAATTCAATTCGCTCAAATTTTTCCAAAGCAATTCTACTTTTAATTTTTTTTTTCTTTCAACTTTCAATAATTCTCTGTGGTACGACCTCAAACTCTCGAGTATTTATTACTTTGCACAACCTGCACTTGGGTGATCAATATTAAAGTTGTAGCAAGGCCTTTAGAGAGAACATGAAACCCATTGGATGCTCACAATGGTAAAGTCAACCAATGGTATACCATTGCTTGACCGGCCCAAAGGATCAAGAGGAGAGGTTACAACCTTGAGAGAAGGAAGTATGACCACCCTCAAGAGAAAACTAAGTAACAAGGTCGGACGAGCATGATTGTTATTCTCAGTTTCAGACAAAGATTTTGAAGGTTTAATCTGCTAGAGTAGGCATGGCCACTAGGTTGCGCTTGACTGGAATCTAGAGGGACTCCTAANCGGACGAGCATGATTGTTATTCTCAGTTTCAGACAAAGATTTTGAAGGTTTAATCCGCTAGAGTAGGCATGGCCACTAGGTTGCGCTTGACTGGAATCTAGAGGGACTCCTAAGGTACAAGGGGTTAATGGTTCAAATTAACATATGGAATGATGGGACATGTAGATTGGTGACTAAAGGACCGAAACTATATGGTGATCCTTGATTGGGGCACTTTGGATGAAGGCCACAAAAGGGGATCCAAATGAAAAGGAGAGCATCACAGTATGCATGCAGTAGGTGCACTGCGGATATAACTCTTCCGCGATGATGCTCTCACAACCCTTCTACCTTGGGTGCCCCCCCTTTACCTCAGAGAATGTACCCCTTCCTCAGGAATCGAGTCTAGGTTGCATCTAATGAGACGTCACATCTATCTAATTAATACTTGGGACACGAGGCACGCAATGCGCAAACGTCCATACAAAAATAGCCGAGACAATTGCAAGTAAGCACAGTTGTCGTGTACGGCGTTGACCCTTGTACCGAGGCAGTAAAGGTCCCTTAGGGGTGGTCTTTAGTCGTAATCATCTGATGTGTGATAAAAACTCTATTTACACCCTCCTTCACATAGGACACGAGCTTACAAGTGAAACTGAGTGACCAACAACAAAAAAAGATAATCATGTGTAATGGCTAACCACGACAGGTAAGAGCTTTGACCACCAACCACCCTAGACTCAGCCTTGATATAATATTAAAGCATCCAACCCAAAACCAATTTTTAGTAGTTAAAAAGGCCTCTCAGGATATAAACAAAATATCTCTCTTCGTTTGTTAGGCCCCTTAACCATTTAAACCAACCTTGAATGATGCTAATCGTTTGACGTCAGATACGAAATCTTTTAAAAGTTCAAGTAATATTTCTAATTATACATGCAATAATCAAGAATGTTGGGGGTTTGGAAATTGAGGCAAAGATTGCGCTCTTTTGAAAGGTCATTAGAAAAGCTTTAANATCAGATACGAAATCTTTTAAAAGTACAAGTAATATTTCTAATTATACATGCAATAATCAAGAATGTTGGGCGTTTGGAAATTGAGGCAAAGATTGCGCTCTTTTGAAAGGTCATTAGAAAAGCTTTAATACTATACCTCTAACAAGGCTTGATTAAGGTGGAATAGAATGGGATGGTCATGGGTTTGAATGGCTTCTCTATGCTCCTTGACACTGCAGTCATCTTATGGGAGATCTTACATTAGTCATCTTTCTATGGGGCACAAATTAAATTAATTTCCTAGTAAGATGGTGATGGCTTAAATTTATTGGTCAACCTTGCAGATTATTAAGTGGTTCCTAGGATGACTCATTTTTACCCATTTTGAGGGGATGGGCAGTTCTGCAGATTGGATTTCTCGTCATTTTATTTATGCAGCGCTAGACATTTGTCATTTGTATTCTTCTCTCCAAAGGATTCTTCTTCCTCCTCATATTTCCTCCCTTGCACATATAGAATTTCCAAGCCTCATTGAAAACAGGAAAAATGATATTAAACTAATAATAGGACTCTCCACTAAGTTCATTGGTCCTATCCTAGTAAAAATATTGGTCGAACAAGGAGAAAACAATGAGCTCATAAACATATCAGCTATTACCTCATAAAATCATGCACAAGGGGTATAATGCACAATTTCTTTGTTGCAGCACTAGGCAAGAGGTAAAGGATTGCCAACCAAATTGTTTATGTCATCCCCATGAACCAATCAGGAGACAGCATATAACCCAGCACAGAGGAATAACAAATAGCATAGAGAGAAATAATAAGGCAAACAAGATATGCGCGTCTGTGTTATGTGCATGTATGTGAGTATACCATGCTTGTTTTACACGATTGCATAGTGAAGTTTATTAAACATATAAGCGAGGCAAGAGTATGACATTATTTTAAGGCTGTATGTAATTATAAGATTCTGACATTCACCTTCTCACGCTCTGACAGTCTATCCAATTTTAGGTCATGCCTTGGACTCTCCCTCTTCTCAGTCATTGACCGAGAAAATGCAATATCATGGCTATCAAGGAAGAGGTTTTGGCGAGTGGCCACAGGCGCAGTGATGCAGTGGCCCAAGCCTTCAAGTAAGAACAAAAAATACCATGAGATCAGAAAACATAAAACTAAAAGAACAGAAAGTAAGCAATTCGAAACCATTGGCACTATCTACATCATCCATAACTCAAGCTTGACATTTTAGATTTCAATTTCTGACATCCAAACAAAATACATAGTGTGCTTTCTTGACACAACTTTTGGGACAATAAGAGGCATGCAACCTTGTAAATTACAGTTAATATGACATCTCAAGCTTTAGTGAACTTTACAGAGAATTTGGTGACTGCCATCCAGAGCCGGCAGAAAGCTTGCCTCTAATACTGTAAAATAATTGCAAAATATAAAGAAATTATGCTAGCATAATGGGAGGGGGGAGGAGGAGGAGGAAGATGACAATGATGCACAATACCAAAGAGTAACATAAACCCTACTGTGGTTGCTCTTGTAAAATAAATAGGCTACAGAAAATATTATTTTCCGCCCAGAAGAAGAAGAAGGACAAAAATGATGGGGAAATGTATAACTGATTATAATTTTCTGTTTTCATAGTAGAAGAGGTTAAGTGTTAACCGCCGGAGGGGGGGGGGGAGAGAGAGACAAAAGGCTTCAATTTTCCTTTTTCTTTCCTTTTCACGTGCCCCAGGTTTCAAAGTATGACCACTTTTTTTCCTTAATTTAAACTCAAGGATGGAAAAGCGACCACAAGATAAAATTTCAAGTCTCCAACAAAATATTCAGCACGGAATNATTAAACTCAAGGATGGAAAAGCGCCCACAAGACAAAATTTCAAGTCTCCAACAAAATATTCAGCACGGAATGAGATATTGTTATCCAACAATATACAGATCACATCCACAGTAAAAAAGAGACCATTAATGCCTTCAGAAATACTGTTCACGACCCGAAACTTGCTTAACACCTCCCTTAAGAATCAAATCCTAATCAAAAAATAAAGTTTTGAAGCTCCCTACCTCAGCTGATCATGTCCATTATAAAAAACATGGGTAAAGCTCACAGAAAAAATCAATGTCAAACTTTTTTACCATAAACCAAGTTTAGTATTGTTTAAAACAGCGAGACGACTAAAACGCATAGTGCATCAAAGTTAAGATGATATGGCCTACTGCTTGATACATATTAAATACTCTCTCTCTTTATTTGCTTCTTTTTTTTTTTTTTTTTGGAGATCCAACGAAAAGCAACTTGAAACTTCAAAGACATTTGAATGCACCTATTTAAATTCCACTCTTCTATGTGAGGACCTTCCAACCCCATTATATGGGGGTCTGTATGGAAACAGGGCAGTCAAAAATCATAGTTTCCTTCGCACCAACAAAGTTTAGTGATAAATGACTAAAGACAAAGTAAGTACGAACAATATTGCTTTAATTTGTCCCTGAAATTGATAAATACCAAGGGAAAACACAATGTTCTTTTAATCTAGCATTTTTCTTTAGATCCTTTTACCCTATTTGGAATCAATTTGCAATCGCAACATACCTAGGATTGCATCACGCAATCAATTGGGTTCCTGACTATATTTGCAAGTTAGCCATAAAGAAAATTGCCAATGTAATGGGCAGGCCTATCTAAATTGGAAATAAAAAAAACAATGTGCATATTAACAAACAAACAAACAAGACCCTCAGAAATCCTTGGAGAACAAAGTGCAATTGCCTGATCATCATTCCCCTCCTGCGAACCCGACACAATTGCCACGGAATTAGTCCTGCCTGGTCATCTTTTCTGCCACTTAGGTCTAGCAATTTTAGATACAACCCGCGAATCCGACAAGAAATTGACATGGAATTAACTGTTTGGGTTGAGTTTGTACGGGTTTGGGTGGTAAATGGGTGGACCCGCACCCGCTAAATAGGTAAACATGAAACCGGCTAATCACAACCCTCACACACTAAACACGACTTTTACACGAACAAACCCAGGAATACAAGAATACAAATGGGTTGGGTATGAATCGAGCAAAAATTGACACTACACGACTCATTGACAGCACTACATAGCAGCCAGATGCTAGTGAATGTGGAATTCAATCATAATTAATTCACCAACCACTCTCCTTTGTTTTCTCTTTGCTGAATCTCATTTTGGAAATGCCAACACTAATTATATGCACTATCTACAGGAGTCATAAGAAGAGAGTATACGAGGAATTTCCCTAAAGAAGATGTTTCTCAACTCTTAAGTATCTCGAATCTCAAACGCATGTTAACAGCTTACAGATATAAGGCGTATGAAGCAGTGTTCCTACAATAAGATTAATGCTGTGTGAAATACTGCAGGTAGTTGTCTTTTTGACACAGTAATGTTTCAGCTTGATTTTTCAAAAATAAGAACTTTCTACCATAGCTTATTTAAGTAACTAACTGCTGAGTCTGAAAATAGCAGATCTTCAAAATGGCATTCCAAGATTGACTCAAAGCCTTGGAGTTGAATCCTAGCCCACTCAAATGATGCAAACCTTAAAAAGGTCAAAGACTCTTCTATACATTTTGTTATGGAACTTAACAAAATGTAATAAATTGGTGATAAATAGTGAGGCAATATAGTGTAGAGTCGAGTGAACAAGTATTTGAGGGGTGGATCTCAATACATAAAAATGCAATTTTCTTTATGCAAGCTTAATTCTTTTATCTTAGAAGTTAGAAACATAGTTACTGCAACACAAGGAAAAAAAGTCAAAGTTGTCAAGCACTAACCCCTTTTCACCCGAGGTGACAAACTGGCACTCAACTCTTTCGACTGAAAACTCTCTACAACTGATAAGGTATGCAATGAATTCGTTCTCCTGCAGTTTGCTTCAGGAGTAGAACCTACATCCAACTGCTCATCTGAAGACTCATTTTCAGCAATTGATGATGAACAAGTCTTCTGATCATCAGTGCCATCCAAAAAAACAGCATCAGTCGGTTCATTTATGGACTCACTGGTCATTTTCAATGAATTTGTCCTTGGATCCTCTGTCCAGTTTAAAGCACCAGCTTTGACTTCCTCAACCATGGCCTCATTTTCCATATGCAATGGTGGATTAACCCCAACAGACTCAGCAATACCCTTTGGTTCCTCTTGCCTTACTTCGCCTTCCTCTTCTACATCATTCGACGAACTAGTAAACCCGTTGGTGTCCATTTCATCTGCAGAGCTCCAAAGCAATCAAAACAACCAGAGCCAGAACTCCAAAACCCTTCAATAACACTGCTTAATGTCTCAATTCCTAAATCCACCAAAAACACAAGCTGAACAAGCAAAAAGGAAAAAGAAAAAAACCCAAATTCAATCAAACTGCAAAACTCAGAACCTCAAAACCCTTCAGGAAAAAATTTTCAATATTCCCGTGGACCAAGCAAAAGCCAGAAACAACTGAAACAAAAACACACCCAGAAATCGAAAACCCCTCAAAAACAGTTTTCTAGTATCAAAACTTCTCGAATTTGCCAGAAAAAAAAAATGGAAAGGACAAGTGATAACAATGGTTGATCAATGTCAAATCCTGTAACAGAATTCCAAATTCAAGCTGTATTTACACATACACCGACAAGAACACCACACCAACCAGTCAAATTCACGCGTGGAACGTTTGGTTTGGTCAACTTTCAAACAACAAAATCTCGACCCTGTTCATTAAATTCAAGAAAGATTCATGCTTTACACACCACATAATCTGAAACCAAAAGATAGATATACACTTTAAGTTTACATATCACCCTTCACAGCTCACTGACTACGAAAAAATAACTAAAAAAAAAACTTCTACGGAATAATATACAACTAAATCTTGAACTACCAATCATTACACATTACAAAAATTGTAAGAAAGTAGAAAAAATAATTTAAGTCCATCGAATAAGTAGAAGAATCAAGAGGAGTGAAGTAAAACCCCAGATTAAACCTTTGGAGATTTGTATGGTTTGAAATAAGGACTGCAGATGCAGGTTTGAAGAAGCTGCTTCAGTCTTTGTTGGGTTGTGAAGGAACAGGTGAATAAGTGATTAAGAAACTTTGAAAAGGTTAGAGTAATACGAGGAAGTAAATTATGGATTTTAAAAGTAGGGTTTTTTGAAGAACATCGGATTAAGAAACCAGAAGGGAAAAAAGTTACAGTAACATGACTACAAGGAACTGAATTATTGATTTTGATTTAGGAAACTAGAAAATAGTCCAGAAACTTCGCAACAGAGAAAGGGTAAGTGAAAAAATAAATAAAAGAAACTATGGTAAATTGCAACAGATGTCCCGAAAATATAAAATCTTATTTTAGTATTTAATATTTTAGTTGCATCATTTTAATTTCTGATATATTAAATTTATTTCTATGTATTCCCTCCAGCAAAGAGCGTCTAGATTTTTGACGATTTTTTATTATAAATTTATCACGTAATATCTGGGTAAAAAAATAATTTGAATAACTTCTGACTAAATTTTTATCCAAATTTTGGTCATAGAACAATCTAAATTAAACAATTTGATCATGAGTTATCCAAATTTTAGTCAAGAGTTACTCATACACCGTGACAAGTTTATAATAAAAAACCATTAGAAATTTAGATGTTGTCTAGTTGAGGACCACATAGAAACATATTCAATACTTCATAAATTAAAATGATATAATTGAAATATTAAAGACTAAAATAAGATAATGTTCATACTTTAGGGACTTTTAGTGTAATTAACCCAAAAAAATTAAAGATGGAGTATAAAATATGAGTTTATTCTTTGATTATCCTTCAATCTATCTATGTATATATCTAAAATATAATCAAATAAGAGGTAGAACAGAAGAAAAAAATATTGGATGTAACGATGATATCACATCATTATTCTTATTTGGTGTCACCATTTAATAAAAAATATAACAAATAAACAAGTGGATCATAAATATTTAAGTAACTACCTTGTCATGTTGGGCCAAGGCGATTCATCTTACTTATTTGTATGTTTATATTGAATAGTGACATCACATGTCAATAATGATATGGTGTTACCGTTACATCCTATATTTATTTAGGAGAGACGGTTTGAGAAGTCTTCCCTCTTCATTTTCTAATTTTATAGAATTTAAAATTTTTAAATTCAAAACTTAAAGTTCACTTCAATTGGACACTGACATGTGTCATCGATAACTACTCATCAACTCATTAATAACTAACTATTATTTTTAAAAATTTATTCAAAAAAAAACCATTATTTATCATCCCAAAAAAGTTATATAACTATTTTATATAATTTCTCAAATAATAAAATTAAATTAAAAAATATATGAATTATAATATAATGTCGCACGGGACAGACTATAATCTATACAATAAATTAGAACAATTTTGAATTTTGAAAATAAAGAGCGATCCAGATCATTTCGTAACCAAAAAAGTTATCATCCAACGGACGACGTTATCTCAAACTATCTTAAACTATTGACGTATCAGATCGTTTTAATCTGACATACCATATTAACTCTTTTGAAATATTTTTGTTGCTCAAAATTTTTAGTTTCTAAAATTGACACCCCTACATTGAATTAACCTCTTAATCTCGCGCCAAAATTAATATCATCTAAATTTAAAATTCTTTTCAAATTTAAAATTAACGTCCATATTTAAATTTTAACCCCCGTTTATGCTGATCTAAATAATATCTTTTTCATATCAGCAAAATCACTTTTTCACATCATTGTTTCAGAATAGTCAATATAATGATGATATTATATTATTTACTTTATTTTCTTTTATCACCTGCATCCATCTCGATATTTTTACCCAATTATTTTTGATATTTTTTTTCTCCTCTGCCTCCATCTCTTTCTCTCTTTGTTCCTCCACTCAATCTTTATCCCCCAACGAATAGCCACCCAAGGGCGGCCCAACAATATGAAAAAAAAAAAAAAAAGCATAGGCTTTAGGCCTCAAAGTTTTAGAAAGCCTCATAATTTTAGGTACATCACTAGCCCACAAAAAAAATTAATTCCATTAAATTTTAAGTCTTATAAAAAAGCTCCAAAAAATTAAATCTAATTAAAAATTTTATTGCAATAATTTAGGTCTATAATTCAATCCATAATATTAAAAAATTAGAAATTAAAAAAATAAAAAATAAATACAAAAGTCAACTCATATTTACGCTCATTCACTTTTTCTCTCTCTCTGTCTCTTCCTCCCCATCTAAAAAATAAAAATAAAAGTTGAAATTAAACACTCTATCTCCTTCTCTGTGGTAAAAAACAAAAAAAAAATTAAAATCTCTTTTTCGACAATATTAACTCATCATTATTTTGTCTCCCTCTCACATAGAATATTAAAAATAAAAAATCCTTCATTTAATATTTATGTTTTAGGTCTCAAATTGGCTTGAGCCGCTCCTAGAGCCACCGGCTCCCCATTCTCTTCTCTCTTTTTCTCTCCTCACTGAAACCCTCTCTCTTCACAGCAACACTATGGAAGCACCATCGTAGACATAGTAATCAATCATCGACAATCTTTAAGCCTCACCCAAGTATCCCTCCCCCTCTCTCTTTGTGTATGTCTCCCTTTACCGCAACTACCACTTCCTTCCCTCTCCCCTCTGCCACCGAAACTTATAACAGTTCACCAAACACCTTGTATATCTAAAATCAAACTTTTACTTGTAGCTAACCAGCACCTTCACCCCCTCCTCCCCAGTTCCTACCACTGCCACCGAAATCTCCCTAGCCAACAAATGTCTCTCCACTCTCACACGCACACATTGCTACCGAAATTCACCACAGTCACCAAAATACCAAGTGTTTGTATTATTGCTTCAATGAGCGGGCCAACATTATCCTTATTTTTTAGCGAACTTACTTTGTCTGTTACAGAAATCATCTATAGCACAACGGCGTAGCTCCAGCGATTAGCAATGGCATAACTCCAACGGTACGATGATCTCCTAAAAAAGTGGTTTATTGGTTTGGGTTTTTTATTTTTTTTAATTTTACATATTTTTAGGTTATTTATAATCTTTTATGTACGTTGTAGGATATGAGGACCTAAGATTAGTTCAGGCTAAGCAATCATTTGCGAACAATGATGAGTTTATCTATTTTGGGTGTTTATTTTATCCAAAAACTGCAAAGAATTCTGAAAGAACCAAGGAGCCCTTTTGATCAAGAGTCAAGCCTTTTGTTTTTTTGGCACATTTGAAAATGGTTTGCATCAAAAGAAAAAATGATAGGAACCACTCTGAGGTGTATGCACAATATTTAACGAGTTCTTCATACTGTTATTTAGGATTCTTTAAGTTGTAGTGTCTATGTTTTTAAATATTATTTTCTCTCTAAAAAATTTTAAATCTTGACTTCAATTTAATGTTTTGTACACATTCATAAATTTTACAAGTTATACACTATTCCTGTAGTATACTAAAATTCAACTTGATTTGTTGTCAATATGTCTTATAGTTCATTTAATTTGTTGCCAATTTGATACATTATTTGGCTTGGCTTGTAGTTAAAAGTAAGCTCGCTTTTTTGAAGTGGTATCAATGGTTGCTGAAGATATCTTTTAGGTTTGAAAGTAATAAATGATGGTAGTCTTAGTGATAATAGTTAATCTCGAAGTTGTGATGGATGGGTGATGGTGGGGTAAAACTCTTGAGACAAATTTGTGCAACATAAAATTAACTTAGTTGATGAAATTTGATTTGAATTGAATAACAAAATTAATTTAACTAATTGATTTGGTTAGATTTAATTTCAATTTGAGCACAAAATTTGATTAGTTATCAAATTTAGGCTAAGTGGTAATAATGATAATGGTGGTATTAGTGATAATAGTTCTGTATAGTTGTGTTTTTAAAGGATTTTGCTTGAATTCTTTATAAGACTCAAATTTTATATATTCAATTTTTTAATTTGATAATGTTAGCGTAGTTGGATTTAATCATAAAAATTTGATCAAGACCAATTTTCATTGATAGCATACTATCTCTTTACGAATATGTTTAAGTATGATATATAAAAAATATATTTACTTGATAAGGTTTAAACATCTTTATATTTTTGCATGGTCTTATTTTAAGAGAGAACTTAGTTGTAATTGTTTGGAAGAATAGAAAAAAAAATATTATATTTAGAGGCACGCGCATTCTCTAAACTATCAGCATACTATGAGAACAAAAAGTGTAATTTAACCCGATAGAGTATTAAAAATTTAGTTTTAATTGATTTATGTTTTGTTGATATTGTTTATTATATTTTTTGTTACAATTCATCTCTTAATCCCCCTTCTTTGCTTTCTATTTCATATTTATCTGATTGTTTTCATACCACAATGATTTTTGAATTTACTATCATTTGAATTTTAATCAATAATTAAATGGTCATTGAACAATGTTTGAGATTGTTTTGATTTGTATTCTATCAATTTTTTTAAAAAAATTAATTGACTCATATTATATTTATCAATGTTTTTTCTTAGTTTTTCTAATTGGCAATTTTTTATGGCATACAATCTTTTAATGCACGTGTATTTGCTCTCAATTTTTTTGTTTGTTACGTCGTTCCTTCAGCGGCGATTGCTAGTATTTTATAAATGAGAACAAAACTTCAATAGAAAAAATAAAATTAGTTAATATTAACGAATTAAACAAAATGTATGGGGTACGATTAAGTTGGTCCATCATAATTGATTTTTACAACCTAAAGATAGGGAACATAACGGAATTTACCTCATGAGCTAATACAATATCGAGGATGAGAAAAAACAAAGAAATAAAACAAAAGTAATGAAAAACCTACATCAAGATTTACAACCAAAATGATAAAAGGAAAGCGAGATCCTCCTCCATGGAATCATCTCATCCCCCAAAACCCTCCTATTCATGTATTCATCGGACACTCTCCTCCTTTCAAAACTCTTTCTTCGGAGTAAATATTGGGTATAACTATTACACTATGTCATAATTGATGACATGGTGTAACTATTTAATAAGAAAAGAACAAAAATGATAAAATAATGCTAACTTCCTATTATGAAAGTGATTATGTATGACATAGTTGTGCGGTTATGAATTTTAATGGGGCCTATTTACTGATTTGTTTATATATTAGTGGACCGTTACACCACGTAACAACGCTATTTTTTCCTTTCGTCGATCCTTTCTTCTCCCCCCCTCCCTACCCAAAAAAAAAAACGACCAAAAGCCCATTCTCTAGCA